TACTAAAAATAGAAAGAAATTAATTAGGTCAACTAAAAATATGTTATAGGAAAAAATTCAGCCGGCATGGTGGTCATGCCTGTAGTTCCACGTACTTGGGAGGCTGAGACGGAAGGATCACTTGAGCCCAGGATTTGAGGTTGCTTTGGCTAGCTTGACGCACGCACTCTAGCCTGGGGCAACACAGTGAGACTCTGTCTCAAGAAACAAATTGAAAAACAAAACAAAAGCTCCTTTGTGTTAAGTAGTTAATGAAAAAACACTTTAAAGTGTAGTAAACAAGACTTCACAGATTTCAGAAATGGTGTGGAATTTTCAAAGCAACATTTGGAAGTGAACTTTAATTTTGTCATAAACATTACAAAAAACTATCTACCACATAAAATCCCACCATGTTATACTTTTAAAAAAGGCATATTTTTCCATGGAAAAAAGGCAGGAAACAGGTATTTCATTCCACTAGGAATATCTAAAATGAAAGAGATAACACACTCAAATGTTGGCACAAAATGGTGGAAAACAAGAATTTCATATGTCTTGGGTGGGTGTAAAATGGCACAGGCCACTTTGGAAAATAGCTGGTGATATCTACTAAAGCTGAAAATATGCATATAATTTTCCACTTTCATTCTAAGTATACGACTATAGAAAATTTACATTTTTACCAAAAGATCTTTATATTAAAAATGTCCATAGCAGTATATTCTCAATAGCCAGAACTGGGAAATCAATCCAAATGTCATCAACAACAGACAAGTAAGTAAATTGTAGTGTATTTGTTGAGGTAGATAACGAGGGGACCTCTGGGACTCTCCCTACGGGGACAAAAGTGTGCGCTCGCCTTTTGGGTGCTGCCTTTGGCGATTTGCGCGTGGGAAGGACACGGGCGTCCATCACCACGCACGGTCCACGTTTCTCTTACGCTGCTTCAGGGCAGGAGTCTGGGCTTCCCTTGCCCTTCTGTGCTGCAGAGCCGGACCGCGCACACCGCCCCGCATCTGCGTCACAAGTCCCATTTCAGTGACGGCAGGCCATGGAGCTCTGGGCAGTTGTGTGGCATTCCATGTCCCTGTCCTATTCAGAGCCCGAGTGTCACACGTCCTCCCTGCTTTCCAGTGGAGCTCTCTCTTGCCGCCCCCCTGCAGACCCCAGTCACCATCGGGGAGACGCCTCCACTTCCGCAGTTCCCCGCCTTCCCGGCCTCACTCTCTCCTCCCAGCTTAGGTTCTCACCACACTCTCCACTGCCTCTCCCTCCGCTCACCCCCGGCACATGCACTCTGTACGCTGCCGCATGCCACACACGCTGCGCATGCCACACACTCCTACATGCCACCACACGCTGTGCATGCACACACTCTACATGGCCACACACACTGCACATGCCCAAACTTCTACACTGCACACCACTGCACATGCCACCACACGCTGCGCATTGGCACATACTCTACATGCCACAACACTGCGCATGCACACACTCTACGATGCCACACACGGCTGCACATGCCCCACACTCTACATGCAACACACTGCGCATGCCACACACGCTGCGTATGGCCACACACTGCTCATGCCACACATGACTGCACATGCCACACACTCTGCACGTGCCACACACTCTATATGCCACACACACTGCACATGCCACACACGTCATTAATGCCACACACACTGCACATGCCACACACACTGCGCATGCCACACACTCTATCTATGCCACACACCACTGCGCATGCACAACACACTGCGCATGCCACATCACTCTCGATGACGCCACACACTCTACATGCCACACACTCTACATGCCACACACTCTACATGCCACACACTCTGTACATGCCACACACTCTACATGCCACACACTCTGCACATGCCACACACTCTACATGCCACATATGCTGCATATGCCACGCACCATGCTGCACATGCCTGCCATCTCTGAGTGAGCTCACATCGCCCAAGTCCTTCTCTCTCCCTGTCCTGCTCGGCCTCTGCCAGGAGCACTCAGCCTGTCTGTCCGCTCAGCCCTCCCTCCTCTGCAAAGCCCTCCTGCACACTGCCTGGGAGCCACCACCGCTCTTGGGTTTGTATTACTGGTGTGCGTATGTTGGTGTCCCTGATTTCCTACCTGGCCCACCGTAGGTGCTCGGCGATTGTCTCTCAATGCCTTCCAGGCTGCAGAGGGCCCTGGCACTAACTCCACCTGCACACCTACTCTTGGCAGTCGCTCATTGCCCCCTGGAGTCGGAATCCCTGGCCTCTCAGGGGACCTGTCTTGTGGCCATCCTACCCCTGGTCACCCTACTGCTGGGGCAGTGCCCGGGTGAGACACAGCCTCGTAACCAGCTGGCACCCCTGGCGGCGACCTGCTGCTGAGCCGTGGTCCAATTTCCAGCGAATCAGCATGGGGCTGGTTGTGGTGTGACAAAGGGACAGGTTGACAGCAACTCAGCCTGAGTCCTGGCTCTGCGCATCCAAGCGCCGACCTGCAGTGACAGCACGTGGCCACAAGGGGCTCTGCTGGGCGACTCTCACACCGGGTGTGGAAGGGCCCAGTGGGAGAGCGCCCCGCCCCGCCCCGCCCCTGGCAGAGGAAAAAGGGACCGCTCAGGTGGTCCCTCCTCTCAGGGGTCTCTGATGCTGAAGCCCCACAGCCCCCCTTGGCTGCCTTACCTTCACACCTTCCTCCTCGATTTCCAGACCTCGGTCACCTCAGGGGACGATGCCTCCACTCTTGTTAGCTCTACACCATAAGCTCCTTGTCTTTGGGGCCATGGGAAGGACGGTTGTCCTGTTTTATCTCTTCAACATCTCCCGACTCTGCCCCTTGTCCCCCGCAGCCACCTAGGTGTGGGGCGCCCCGTCTCTGGCAAGGATTAGTGCAATGGCTTCCTGAAGGACCCCCTGGCTCCAGGCTGCCCCCTGCCCATCACCTGTCTGCCCTGCGGCCGGGGAGACCTCACTCCCATCACCCACCGCCTCCAGGGGCTCCCAAAGGCCCCCAAGATCCATCTGCCAGGGCTGGGCGCGGTGGCTCACACCTGTAATCCTAGCACTCTGGGTGGGAGGCCGAGGCAGGTGGATTGCTCGAGGTCAGGAGTTCGAAACCAGCCTGAGCAAGAGTGAGACCCCGTCTCTACCATAAATAGAAAGAAATTAATTGGCCAAAAAACAACTAAATACTATATATATTATAATATAAGCCAGGCCATGGTGGCGCATGCCTGTAGTCCCAGCTACTCGAGAGGCTGAGGCAGTAGGATTGTTTGAGCCTAGGAGTTTGAGGTTGCTGTGAGCTAGGCTGACGCCACGGCACTCACTCTAGCCTGGGCCAACAAAGCGAGACTCTGTCTCAAAAAAAAAAAAAAACCAGCTGCCTGATCTCAGCCTCACGTGCCTCCTCTCCTCTTTCCCTCCCACCACAGCAGACTGGAACACTTGTAATCGCCCAGCACAGCGATGTTTCTAGCCTCGTGGTGGCACAGATCCTTGTCTGTGGCCTGGTCCTCCCTCGCCACCCCTCCTGGGGCCCCTCCTCCTTACCCTGTCCCGTTCCTTCTTCACTGGCAGAGCCTATTTGTCCTTCAGAACTGCCAGCCGCTTGTGACAACTCCTTCCCATGCCCAGGATCCGTCCTCTGAACGGATTCTGTTCCTGAACACGCGTCTCACGCTGCATCGGGTCGTTAATGACCACTCGTGCGTCTCCCGCTGGCCCCGTGGCCACACGGCAGGTGCTGCACAAAGGACGCACTGGTCCCTCTCTGACCGTCACCCCCACCTTGAGCAAGTCCTGGGAGGAGAGATGTGAGAGTCAGAATAGAGCACGTTGTCCAAGAACTTTATAAATGGCTAAGCGCTATAGAATTTTTTTTTTTTTTTGAGACAGGTCTTACTATGTTGCCCCGGCTAGAGTGCTGTGGCGTCAGCCTAGCTCACAGCAACCTCAAACTCCTGGGCTCAAGGATCCTCCTGCCTCAGCCTCCCAAGTAGCTGGACTACAGGCATGCACACCATCCCGGCTAATTTTTTTTATATATCTTTAGTTGTTTGGCTAATTTCTTTCTATTTATAGTAGACACGGGGTCTCGCTCTTGCTCAGACTGGTTTCGAACTCCTGACCTTGAGCGATCCTCCCGCCTCGGTCTCCCAGAGTGCTAGGATTACAGGCATGAGCCACCCCACCCGGCCGTACAGAAATGTTTTGACTGCATGTTTGGCTTCCAGACTAGTGTTGAGCTACACTTGCCTGCGTGGAAACCGGAAGATTAAAGGAATGTGGCGTGATCTGTTTATAACTTCCCTACCTTTACAAGGGAAAAGCTGGCCAAGAGTAAACCATTAATCTGTCTCCCTGCAGGCTCCCAATCTTCTTTGGAGCTCGCAGTTAATGATTCTGAGGTTGTTTGCCTCAGAGGATCAAGTCATATCTAATCTTCGGCATGTCCCTTCTTATTCTTTCTTAAGAATAACTTGACTCACTGCAATCTGGGGTGAGGAGCCTTGTTTGGCAGAAAAACAAGGCAGCCATGTGTGGGTCTTGGGCCCTCTTCCTTTCTCAAAGGAGCGCGGGCCCCACGCCGAGAGTCCCCTCTACCGACAGAAGAGACCTGTCCCAGCCCACGTGATGAAGACTGTGACTTTCCTCGAAGTTGCTTTAGAAATTAACTGTGCAGATCCAAGCAACAAGGATGCTGCGATCTAACTCATAACCCCTCACGTGAGGTCTAAGGATTTGTTTTTGGTATCCCAAGAAGAAATTTTCTTTCCTTTTTTGAGACAGAGTCTCTCTTTGTTGCCCACGTTAGAGTGCCGTGGCGTCAGCCTAGCTCACAGCAACCTCAAACTCCTGGGCTCAAGCGATCCTCCTGCCTCAGCCTCCCAAGTAGCTGGGACTACAGGCATGTGCCACCATGCCCAGCTAATTTTTCTTTCTTTCTTTTTTTTTTGAGACAGAGTCTTGCTTTGTTGCCAGGCTAGAGTGAGTCGTGGCGTCAGCCAGGCTCACAGCAACCTCAACTCCTGGGCTCAAGCAATCCTCCTGCCTCAGCCTCCTGAGTAGCTGGAACATACAGGCATGCGCCACCATCCTGGCTAATTTTTTCTAGATATATTAGTTGGCCAATTAATTTCTTTCTATTTATAGTAGAGACGGGGTCTCCTTCTTGCTCAGGCTGGTTTTGAACTCCTGACCTTGAGCAATCCGCCCTCCTCGGCCTCCCAGAGTGCTAGGATTACAGGCGTGAGCCACCGCGCCCGACCCCGGCTAATTTTTTCTATATATTTTTAGTTGTTAAGCTAATTTTCTTCTATTTTTAGTAGAGACGGGGTCTTGCCCTTGCTCAGGCTAGTCTTGAACTCCGAACCTCAAGTGATCCTCCTGCCTTGGCCTCCCAGAGTGCTGAGACTAGAGGCGTGAGCCACTGCGCCTGACCTCAGAAGAAGTTTTCTGAAGATTCAGTATGGAGAAACCATTCTGGGGCTGGTTTTTAAGAGTTTGATTCGTGGCTGGGGGAGGACTGGGCTGCAGAGAGATGTAGCGCCCAGTGGGAGTGGCTCCTGGTTGGGAGCAGGGCCCGGGATGCCAGGAGGTCTGTTTACATGAATAGATGTAGCGCCACCTACGGCAGAGGCTTGGAATGGATGTCCGGGAGCTGATTACGGCTTAAGGGTGGTCTGGACACTACGGAAATAAGGCCATCTTACCTCAAGAGTTGAGTCTCCTCAGCCCCTACCTCTCCTTCCTCTCAGTCCCGTGATTTTGGTACTCATGTCCGTAGAGCTCTGGAACATGGCGGTAAGACCCTGGTATGTCTCAGGTCCTCGTGGTGCACCAGTGTCCTTGAACTTGTCCGCTTTTTCTCCTCCCCATGCCTCACACACGGCAAGTTACCTTCTTGACCCTCTGTGTCCTCATCTGTAAAACAGGAATATCATTCCTTCTTTCCCTAACAACCAGCCAAGCCTTCTTGTAATAATAAATGTCATTAAAATTTCTGATCTTGGTTGGGCCTCAGTGGCTCACGCCTGTAAATCCTAGCACTTTGGGAGGCTGAGGCGGGAGGATGGCTCGAGGCCAGAAGTTCAAGACCAGCCTGGGCAACACAGTGAGACCCCCGTCTCTACAAAAAATGTTTTTTAAAAAATTAGCCAGGTGTGGTGGCATGCGACTGTAGTCCCAGCTACTCAGGAGGCTGAGGCAGGAGGATCGCTTGAGCCCAGGAGTTTAAGGTTACAGTGAGCTATGATGGGGCCACTGCACTCCAGCCTGGGTGACTGAGTGGGACCCTGTCTCCCCCACTCCAAAAAAATTGAATCTTAACAAAAGAGGCCTTTCATGTTTATATCCCTTTAGTGCACACATGAAAGTGAAAGCATAAGAGGAATTGGTTAAGGTATGTCTGTGGCAATAACCACTGTATCACAACCACCACAGCAATCATAGGGCCATTCTGACTTCAGAGATGTTGAAATGCAAACAACAGCAAAATAATAACAAACACCCTTGTACCCACCTCCTTGCTTAAGAACTAAACAATTCCCAACATCACTGAAAGCCTGTGTCCACCGCCTTGACCCATCTCTTACCTTCCACGGAAGAGAAAACCATTGTCCTGAATTTTGTGTTTACCGCTCCCCTGTTCCTGCTTGTGTCTGTTTTACCAAACATGCAATATATTATTTGATCTTGTTCTTTAACTGTTCTATAAGTGGAACTGTATCTTATTCTATGATTTGCTTTTTTAAAAACATTATAAGCAGAATGTATCTTTGTTAATAGGTGTATCTGCCATTTATTTTTCACCACTGAATATCCCTCTCTATTCCTATCCCATTGTCTTATCAATTCTTCTGTTGATGGAAATTTGGGCTGTTCTCGGTGTTTTGCTATTAAATTATTTTGCCATAAACATTCTCAGAGCTGTCTCCTGGAACACGCACGTGTGTTCCCTAGGAGTGGAATTGCTAAGTCTAGACAGTGGTCCTCTCTCTTCTGATTGCCAGCAAATGCTGCTGCTCCCCTCCCCCCCCCCACTAGTCCAAGGAGATGAGAGTCCTGTTCTTGCTTTGTCTATGGACCTGCAGGGGAAGAAAGGTTTACGAAAAGGATAGGGAGATGGCGGAGGTCGATCTTCCCAGCCCACCGTCTGTGACTCTCAGCCGGGAAGGGGTTGAGGCCGGATGGGGCACCCATCTTGTCTCTGCTGAGCATGGGCGTGGCCCTGGGGGTCTCAGGCAGCAGCACCGCCGACGTCACAGAATCCACTGTGACGTCACTACCGGGCAGTGGGGTGTGGACATTCAGATGGAAGGCAGCAAGCCACGCTCAGATGTATGGTTCTTTATTTAAACTGCAGTAAAAGAAAGCTGGAGTCAGCTCTCCAGGGATGTTCCCCGGAGCCCCGGGGCCCCTCTGCGGTTTCTGCTTCCAGGTCCCATTTAATGGGTTATGAAGGTCACCGTCTCCTTGATCTCGGAACTCACAGAGCCAGCCATCTTCAGGTCCTGGCCACTCTCCCCCGCCTCCACGATGGCCTCCATGGTGTTCTTCTCCTCTGTCTTCGCCGTGATGTCCACGTCTCTGCCACGTTGTGAGGCCACTGCTTTCGTCGTCAGGTTGGCTTTGACGTTCTTCAAGAAAGAGCCGATCCTGCTGAGTCTCTTGCTGGAACCCGAACTGGTGGTGGACATGCTCCTCCCGGATTTGTGAGAGGTCCTGGAGTCCTTGGTGAGGAGGGTGTGGCTGGCGCCCTTGTGCGAGCTGCGGGTCCTGCTGCCCCCGGGGCTGCGGCGGTGTTTCTCCTTCCGGTCTTCTCTGCTGGCGTGGTGGCTGGATGAGGACTGGCTGGAGGACTTCCGGGCTAACTTGTCTCTGCTTGACTTGCGGCGGCTCTCGCCCGTCCTGCGGTGATGGGTGCTCCTGTCGCTGAGCGCTCTGTCCTTGTCCCTTTTCTCCCTCTTCCCCCTCCTCTCCCTCTGCTCCTTGCGGCCTTCGGCGCTGGCGTGGGCGCGCCGCCTGCCGTGGGGCTCGCTCACGCTGCTCTCGCTCAGCAAGGTCACCATGGGGAGCTCCTCCCCGGGACTGTTGTCTTCTTCTCCAGCGGTCTTGCTGGCAGGTTCTATCCCGGCAGTCACCACACTCATGGTGCCCTCCTCTGGGGAGATGTTCTTGGACTCGCTGGAAACGTGCTCTGAGACCTTGCTGGTAGCCCCTGCCACGGCCACCTTAATGCTCTTTGGCGACTTGCTGGCAGTGCCTGCGATGGCTATGTTGCTCTTGCTTCCTCCTAGGACGGCCCCTCCTGAGATGGTGCTCACGTCGCCAGTCTTGCTCACTGACAAACTGAAAGCACCCGCAGTGCCCCCGGTGGCCCCAGCCACTGCTACCTCCGTGCTTGCCCCTGTCGCCGACTCTTTGGCAAAATCTGTCGGTTTTGTTTTGGGGCTGGATGCATCGGGCACCCCGACGGGTTTGTGGGAGTCATGTGGGACCCCTTCTCCCCCAGCATAAGCGGCAGAGGTGGCCCCGCACACCTCAGAGGCCATGTGGAGGCTCCTGATGCTGACCTGGTCCTGGTCCCCCTTCCCTTGCAAGTCCGAGGCTCCCAGGCTCATCCGGTCTTCCTCAAGCACCGGCATGCACATGTCCTCCGCGGGGACCGCGTAGGTGCTGCTGTTGCTGTCCACGGGGGGCCGCAGGAGGTAGATGAGTTTTTCCCAGTAGGCAAAGAGGTCTTTCCGCGCATCCAGAGGCGGACACAGCTGCAGGTAGCAAGAGCGGCCGGTGGCAAACTTTAGGCGCAGCTGCTGTTTCTCACGGTCGTGAACGGTGATCCTTACGAACTTCAAGGGAAGGAGCCTGGTGAGCTCCAAGGCCTTGGCAGCCTTGCGGTTTCGCCCCTTGGCGGGCTGGCTGTGCCCGCCGTACTCCTCGCAGCTGGTGGCCGGCCGGGCCAGCAGCATGACGTCAGGGAGCGGGAGGCTGGGGCTGGTGCACGCGATGCCCACGGTCACCATCCGGACGCGGTTGTGCACGTCGATCACTTCTCCCCTCTTGGTGATCTGGATGAAGTCGCTCTCAAATATCGGTGCGTACTTGAATATGTCATACTCTCCCTTGTACAGCTGTCGCTGCAGTTTCCCCATGGTGGTGTTGAACATGCCCACCCCGGAGCCACTCTTGGCCGTGTAATACGGCAACAGGCAGTCACTGTTCATGGCCCCCAGGGTCTCTGTTGGCCTCGTTGGCAGGTGCGGGAGCAGGGGACCCCTGGGTCACAAAGATGGCTCTGCAGCAGGTCTCTCCACCCCACCCCACCCCACAGGCCCCCCCTTTTGCCTCAGAGCCTCCCAGAGGCCGAGGTTGGGGGCGGGGGCACAGATGGTTGCCGTGGGGACGCAGCGGAGCGGCCGGACTGCAGACTGAATCTCCTCGCTGGTGTAGACACGCAGGGTGGACTCGGAGAGGGTTTCTGGCTCTAACCCCCGCTGCCACCTCTGAGTTTTGTATCTTCCTGACAGTCTACAAAGTGCAGTCCTAGCGAGAGAAGTGACCACCGTCTTGGCCTAAGTCCCTGAGCAGCCATATTTATCCTCTGCTGCCCTTTGTGACCTGTTACTGTCACACACCCCTTTGTTTTCATCCCCTGCTGCCCCCCTGGGGCAGGGCCACCATCCTGACACCCTCCTGCCCCCCACAGAGGACAGACCCACCCTGCCAGGCACTCAGGTGAGTGCCAAAATAAACATTTTTTCCAAATGAGAAAATTTTGTGTGGCTCCTCCCCCACTCCCTCAACTCAAAAGATTCAGCAAACAGACAACAGCTCTAGGAGTGCTCTAGGGTGGGATCCATTTGAATCATTTGAGTTACATGGTTTAATTTTATGGAAAAGCCTAGAATTGGCAGCCCTGGTTCTTAGCATGTTCTTTTATACAATCTCAGTAAATGTCGCTGATGATGATTTTGTTGTTTTAGACAGAGTCTGGCTCTGTTGCCCAGGCTTGAGTGCAGTGGCGTCAGCCTAGCTCACAGCAACCTCAAACTCCTGGGCTCAAGCAATCCTTCTGCCTCAGCCTCCTGAGTAGCTGGGACTATAGACACATGCCATGATGCCTGGCTAATTTCATATATATATTCATATTCATACATATTCATATATATATATATATATATATATATATTTTAGTTGTCCAGATAATTTCTTTCTGTTTTTAGTAGAGATGAGGTCTTGTTCTTACTCAGGCTGGTTTCGAACTTCTGACCTTGAGTGATCCCCCCCACTCCCAACCCCTCCCCACCCCCCCATCCCCACCTCGGCCTCCCAGAGTGCTATTATTACAGGTGTGAGCCATCACGCCCACCCGATGATGATCTTTAATAACAACCTTAACCTTTACTAATAACATTAAAGATTATTTCTCCTAGGTGCCATGCTACGTTCTTCACCCATTATCCTAACAACCCATTGAGCTTGGGATAATTGCTACTGTCCCCATTTTACAGGTAAAGAAACTGAGCTTGTGTCTGTTACCTACATTGGCCAGTGGGAGACAGGAAGGTAGAAAGAGGGAGCCGTGTGCGTGTGTGTGTGTGTGTGTGTGTGTGTGTGTTTGTGGATGTACATTATGGAGAACCCAAGATGACCACTTCAGACGGGCTGGGCTGAGCTGGGGATGAAGTTTCCCAGGAGTCCACCTCCGCTCCTCCCTCCCTCCCCTCCGTTACGCTTGTACAAACACCCCATGTAGGGGAGCCCAGTTATTCTCTCGAGACCTCCAGGTTTTGCTTCACCCTCCGCTCTTCCTGCCCAGTGAAATGCCAGGCAGAGGAGAGCGGGAGGGAGGTGTGAGCTCACGCGCCAGGGGCCTGCCAACGGCCCTCCTGAACTAATCTCCTTCCCACGCAGAAGTGGTTTAGAAACCGTTTATACCCGTGGGCGCACGCGCCGTTCTGCCACCTGTGTGTTGCCATTCCCGCAGAGCTAGCCACGGGATAAGTGATTTCCGCACTGCGTGACTTGAAACTTCTGAAAAGGATCCCCTGCTCCCAACTGTCTTTTCTCCCAATTTGATGGTTATGCCTGGAATCCCACCTTGGAGATTCATTCCCTGAGGATAAAAGCACTTTCTTAGAACGCACACACCTGTCCCTCAGTGGATGGATGGGTGAGCAAAATGTGGAATACTATTCAGCCACAAAGAGAGTCAAGGACTGTCACATGCTACCAAAGAGCCAGGCACAAAAGGCCACATCTTATATGATTCCATTTATATGAAATATCTGGAACAGGCAGGTCCATAGAGACAGAAAGCAGATCGGTGGCTGCCAGGGTGGTGGCCACTTCCTCATCTGTAAGGTGAGGATGACAGTTGTGAGGGTTAAATGGGACCCTGTCCGTGGAGTGTTCGGCTCATTGCCCTACTCAGTAAATGTTACATACCATTAGCATTCGTCCCCGGTGGTCCTTTTAGCCTCGGTGTGAATTCCTTCCCGAAAGAAGTTTTGGAGGAGACCTAGAACAGCTTCTGGAGTTAGAGCCACCTTGAGAACGCGGGAGGAAGCTCCGTGGGCAACCTTGACCTCCTTGCAGGCAGCTCTCGACTGGAAACACTGTTCACTCCGCAGAGGGACAGTACTGGAACCCAGCCAGAGGGTGGGGGACAGGGAAGAGGGGAGAAAGCTTGATAGGATTTGGGTGTCAGGGGTTTATTCAAAGCTCATGGGGAGAAATTAGGATAAAGATAGAAAAGGACTTCCGCTCTTGACGGAAAGTGAAAGCAATCAGCTTCAGAACCCCTGTCCTGGCCCAGAACCCTTCAGACCTTTTTACTCTGAAACAGGTGCCTGGCTCGATCTCAGGGGAAGACCAGGGAGGCAGGAGGCAGGCCACAGGAGGGAGGGTGGCTTTCTATGCCCGGCTAGTGTGATGTCACCACCCCCCGGTGGGACAAAGACATTGGCAAGCCAGGTGTTTGGTTCTGGCTGAAGCCCCATCTAAATTTATTCTCTCAAACCCCCCAACCTTCCCTCTCCTTCAAATATCAAACAAGATGAACTGAACGACTTGATGGTTAATACACATTTATCCTTTTCTTTATTAAAATATCAAAACACAAACTTGGCTACAGAAAACAAAACTATTTTTAATTTATTTGTTCAAAGAACGTACAGTTACACTAACCAGACACAGTGCATTTCTCAGATCCATTTTTCTTGCCATAGTCACCCTCCTCCACCTCCTCACCCCCATCCATTCTTGTCCATGGCAGTTTACAAATTGTCTTGAGTCCCATAAAGGCTGGTGGGGTGTAGCCTCTAGTCATAACTAGAAGGTAAATCCAAGGGCGTTTTCCCCCCTCCATCAAGATAAGGAACATGATTCTCTTGGGAGAAGTGGGGAATGGTACTAACTTCAAATGGCTCTTTACAGATCAGGAAAGACCCTGGATGTGCAATTAAAGCAGCAAAATAAGGACACCTGTGTTCCAAGTGCTAGTTTAAAGGAAACATACATGAGTTCAAAGAAGCAGGTACACCGTTTTGCGTGGATGAATCTAACATTTAATAAAGCCAGTGTCTCTCTGAACAACGGCACTGGTAGCAGAATAGCTAATTTTTCTTTCCAGCCTGGGAGGGTTATCCATGTGCACAGACAGCAAGGGAGCCTGGCTCTATTTCAGACTTAAGGCATCCTATGCCCTGGAAATTCCAGGAAATTAGGTGAAATACCTTTCTCTGAATTACCACACCCATCCTGTCTCAAATTATTCTCTTTCTTTCTCCCATCCCCCTTCCCATTCTTTTCTGATATATTTTTGCAACAATGAGACACACATTTGAACATAACAAAGGCAATTCGAGTGAATAATTCTTGAAGAGTTCTGCGGCAGAACATTAGGTATCGAAGTTGAGCAACAGGTGTATGCTTTTAGGTGTTTGTACATTCAGGGAAAATGATAGTTAAGGCATTTTGCAATTCAGATTTTACATCAAAATTCCATCTTAACACCAAACGGTTGATCTAAAGGATCTATTTGGTGCTGTGTTTCAGGGATTGGTAATGAGAAATTGAGCATAAGTTACCATAGACCGAGGAATAAGATTGAAAGTCAACCATCCCACCTAGTGGGAACACATGGTGACAGTCACCTCGAGAATTTTTAAACCTAAACACCCCCCATAACGGAGAGGAGAGGAGAGGGGCAGGGAATGACTAGATCTCAACAACCAGCAGGTTCAAAAGAACAGAAACCAGCACAACACATGTTTGCCATGTCTTGGTTCCAATATTTATTATATTGACAGATGAGGAATACTAGGATAAATAATATTTTCTCTTACAGAAAATTGTAACGATACTATTGAGTAGGATTAAACACTCTGAGGATTTCACAGAAACATCAGAATTTTAACAAGACGGTAGCCAGTTTTCGTGGCCAGTGTGAGTGGCTTTCTCACGGCTGCAAATGCCCTGGGCCATATTTCTCAAAACAGCTACATGACAAAAACAATGCCATTGACACCCAACAATGCTAAAGCCTGGGCATCACCTGGCCTTAAACAAGTCTCCACTGACTGTGGTTTTCTACCACCAGGAAAGGAAAATGGAATATTCTTTGGCTCTTCCAGCCTAACTCCTGACCTAAGTCGCTTAGTGGAGAGTCCTAACCCTTTGGAAGTTGGACTTTCTTTCTGCTTTCTTCCTGTGACATTGGAACTGAGTTTGCAACAGAGGACCCACTGTCATGCCCACGGATTCTGTATTAACACCGGGAGAATTCTGTTCTCCGGGAGCTGACAAGCTCTTCTGGCCACTTGAACATTTTGTGAGACACCGCACATGGTGACAGCCCCCCAAGCTCTCAGAAACCAGATCCGAGGAAAATCATGTAAAAGTCACACCAGTGTTGTGCCAAACAAACATCAAAAGAGCACAATGCCTAGTTTTGAAATGAATGCCTTGCACACAGTAATTCCTGGACAATAACAGCATATTTGCTAGAAAGCACAAGCCCTGGCCATTGCACAACTTCGCTAAATGCCGTTCTCACTCCATGTCCCCTACGAGTGACGATAGCAGCCTCAGTGGAGGTGGTGGCCCCACCCCACCTGCGCAAGATTCAGACACTTCTGCATGAGTCCTAGCGGTGGGCATCCTGGTTTTTACAGAATCCAGATGAAAGGTGGGCAGGACCCTAACCAGGGGCCATCTGGAACATCTAAGAATGGCCAGTGTCTTAAGGCCTAAGTCCTGGAGTTGAGGCAAAGGTGCACTTGCCCTGATCCAAGATCCACCCTGGGGCAGAACAGAAAGGCCCGGCGGAGTCACCGAGGGCCCTCCCACCTCGATGGTTCTCGGCTGCTGGGATTCTAGAGGTGCACAGGAAGTCAGCTCTCCAATGGCTTTAGGGTTTTGGGTATAAAAGGAGGATTCGATGAGGACTCCCCAGTTGCCCCCACACCGTGGCCACTTAGCTCTGTAATGTTCCTTCTTTTATCTGTTGGATAAAGAGGTTTCTCTCGTCTTCTGGAGTCCGCCCATTCTGAGCCCGGACAATACAAGTGGGCCGATGGAGGTTGAGCATGTATATCAAATGCTGCTTCTCGTTCTTGAGCTCCTCAATTTGGGCCTTCAGTTCTGCATTCACACTCTCCAGCTTCTCCGACTCCTGGGGGACAAGGGACAGAGGCATTAGGAATGGAGCCCGAGGCCCACGGGGAGGGGGGAGGCTGGGTGCTGCCTGGACGGTGGAGGGCCCCTTGCTGAGGAGATGGGAGGGAGCGCTAGTCTGGGAGAATGCAGACCCTGGAGAAGGCTTCGAACATGGGCCCTTCTTCAGAGGAGCTCCGGGGATGCCACAGAGGTAGGCTGTCACTCTACTCATTCTGAAGCTGCAGAGCAACCAACAGTTCAGAGGTCTCCTTCGCATGAGTCCAACAGCCCATAGGCAAGTCTTCTGGACCAGAAAGAGCCTTGAGGGTGGGGGAGAAATCCCGACTCATGGTGCCTAGTGTTTTGTGAATCATTGCTCTCGCTGATAAGCTCATCTCCCCAGAAAAAAATGTATTAATACATGGCAACACACAAAATCTCCTAATTTTCACTGATCCCCCCTGAAGCAGTCAACAGAGCCCTTGGGCACCTGCAGAACCTGGGTTAAGACTCTGCCCTGGCCTGTCCACACGTGGCGGAGGGACACAACCATTGGGAAGACTGCCAGGCACCTCGGCCTGCACCGCCTGCCCACAAAGGCTATTCCCTGTCTTGTTTCTCAGGAGGGGCCGGCTGAACGCAGTCAGGAGCTCCGACTGCTGGAGGAGCCAGGGAGAAGGGCTGCAGAGTTAAGAACTAGATAGGAATGCAAAGAAAGTGTAACCACTGCTTGTGGATTAAGGAAATAACCTGTTTGAAGAGATTAACTAAAGGCTTTTTATAGGGAGCCAAACGAGAGCTGGCAGCTTTTCTCAGGCAAGTGGGCAAGTGCAGCTTCTCTCACTGTGCTGGTGGGTCCCCGGCCTGGAAGCTGCTGGACACGAATGCACCGGCAGAGGCTGCTGCGAGTTGGGCAGCAGGCGCATTCACACACCTGCTTCTCGTCCAGAGCCAGCGTCACGTCCACTGTGCTAACAGCTTTGTTACCTCCTCATTCTGCAACCGGCATTTCTGCTACCAGCTACGGGGCCCTTCTTGTGCAAACACGACCAGGTAGGGGGCATGAAACTGGTGGCAGACACGCATGGGCCAGAGGAAGGGGACGGCTAGAAGGCACTCACTTTCTGCAGGCACTCTGTCTTCTCCTTCTTCTTGTTTCGGCACTTGGCTGCTGCAATCTTATTTCTTTCCCGTCGCCTCTTTTTCCTTTCATCTTCTTCAGGGGCTACCTATAAAATCCAAAAGATGTGCGTTTAATGGCAGGCAAGAAATGCCACCCAAGTCAACACACAGCCTTTTACTGCCAACGAAAACTGGCAAACCTAATGCTGGAGGACCCGGAAAAAATAAAGCCCTAGACTTTTTGCATGAAACCCCTACGCACACACACACACACACACACACACACACACACACACACATACGTACCCACACACTTGAGAATGAACAAAGAAAATCAAAGAGCTGTTAGTTAAAATTATGTTGGCAATATTAGTAACTTTAAATTTAGCCTACTTTTTTTTTTAAAAAAAAATTGAGGTCTCATTATGTTGCTCAGGCTGGTCTCAAACTCCTAGGCTCAAGTGATCCTCCCACCTTGGCCTCCCAAGGTGCTGTGATTACAGGTGTGAGCCACCACACCTGGCCTCCAATTTAGCCTACTTTTAAAACTCATTTGGGTTTTGAAATGATTATGATATTCAAATTGATAACTATTGTTACTAACTGTAATCATTTAGAACTGGAAACAGATTCTGCTTGGTAAATATATCCTCTTCCCAAGAATCAGAAATGACCTCAGGATGATCACTTCGCCACCCTCCCTCTATCTCCTCTTCTTTGGTTCAGGACCCAAGGACAGCCCCATTCATCACTGTCTTCACCTGGGGCATGGCAGCATCTCCTTCCTGAATTTGGAAGAAGCCCAAGGAGCTCCTAGAAAAGAGGTACCTGAGCTCATTCCTAGCCAAAGTGGCATTAATCAGCCCATGGCTTGGGTGCCACCTGCAGGTGGTAAACTGGAATCAATAAATAAATACAGATCTCCCCTGTGCCTCCCGCTGAGCCAGCCCTGCGGATCCCCAGAGAATAAAACCCTGTCCTACTTTGGGATCTGGTTCTCCATGGAAGTTCACTCAGATCTGGACTTTTGTCTAAGGACCAATGGGAAATTAGCAACATCCAGCCATCGGATACGGCTTAGAGTCTGGGTCCAACTGTGGTGAAGCACTCACAGTGGACTGAGTGGGTGACAGCACAGGCTGCCAGTGTCAGACCCTGTCATGTCCCTGTCCTTGCTCTGGACAGAGCGAAGTGTGTGGGAGCCACACCTCAAACCACAGAGTTCCTGGGATGCCATAGTCACCGCTGCAAAACCCAGATGTAAACTCAGGCCTTTCCCTTCTCCTCCTGTGTCTTTTCCTGACCATATATGCCTTTCTACCACGTCACCTTCATGGAGGTGACAGGGACCTGGGAAACAGGCTCATGCTGCCTGGACGCATGGAACGTCCATGGCTTTCATAGGCTTGGTGTCTTATTTTAAGACGAGACGATGTATGGCAACCAAGGGGATCAGAATATTCAATAGGTTTTGGTGCATTCTCTTCTCAGCAGGTAAATCTGCTTGTGGAACTGACCTATGGTCAGAGGGTCACTTGATGAACCCAGAATCAGAGCAGATGAATTGGGATTTCAGGAGCGTTTCCATGAATCAGACTACTTGCTTCTTCCTCTGGGGAACCCTCCAGATACCCTTCCAAAATGCTTTCCTTCTTTCTATGGGAATCCTACTACTTCCATTGCTAAAAAAACTTCCCTGAGTATCCTGGGTCTGCTCTACACTGCCTTGGACTGGGCACCCATAAACATTTTTGGGGGAATGCTGCCTCCCTTTGGGGCCTCCCCTGAGGTTAACTGGGGGCCCAGCTCATGGCCCAATGATGCCTTATGAATACAGCATCTTAAGGAGTAATAGTTCCAGCTACCATTCATTGAATGCTAACTATCAGCTAGGGCTAGGCCCCCCGCTAGACCCTTGATAAATGTCATCTCATTTAACCTTCAGATGGATCCTAAGAAGGAGTCATTATAGCATCATAAAGATTCTTAACCAACCTCCTCTTAAATTCAGTTCTTTTGGGCCAGTTCCACTTCCCCCTTGCTCAAAGGATGCAATCATACCAGTTAAGTAAGCTTGAAACACTTCTATTTTGCAATCTTGAGGAAAAGGCCAAAAAAAAAAAATGGCAGAACCTTGGCTCTGACCTCCTTGAGCCACCTAAGCCTCACCAGCAACCCCCTCCTAGACTTCTCGCCATGTTTGTCAGTCCAGGTGCCTTGTGCGAGGTTGCCAAGCGTGGACAGTGCAAGTGTTTGAGACACAAGTGAACTTGGAGCAATGCCTGGTGCCGAGGCTGTGGGCACTACTATAGGGGAGGGTGGGGCTGGCCGCCTGGTCCTTGTTTCACCCTCTGGGTGCTTGGGACCTGGTCGTGATGGAAATGACCACCACCCTCTGTGTTGCTCCAGAGCAGCTTGGCACACAAGGCCACCCCATTCGGACTCACGGCTCTAAATGCCATCTCTATGCTGATGAATTCCAACTCTCTATCTCTGGCCAGATTTCCCCCTGGACTCCAGACCCATGTATTTAACTCATCATCTCCACGGGTGTAGAAAAGGACAGAATTCCTGGTCTGGCCCTCACCCAACCTCCTTAGCCCCAATCACAGCAGCAAACGGACAGGCCATTCTTACAGCTGTGCAGGCCAGAGAAGTGGGGGTCACCCTCGAGTCCCCTCTCTCATACCCCACAACCAATCCATCAGTAATTCAGCTCTGCCTTAAAGTCAGATCCGGAAGCCCACGGTGACCGAGCCCACCCGCACTCACGTGGCTTGCCACCCCAGGCCCGCTTCTGTACCCTCTGCCTCTGTCCTGCCCCTACCGCCCCTTCTCAGCATGACGCCCAGGGTGACCATTTAAAAATATTAAGTCGGACCATGCTGTTCCTCTGCTCAGAAACCCTCCTGTCCTCCCCATCTCACTCTGAGCACGTGGCCACAGCTTTGTGACAGTGTGTACGGACATGCCCCTGTTTCACTCCCACCTCCGCACTCTGCCCCACCACACGGCCCACCCTGCACCAGCCAAACTCCCACCTCGGTGCCCTGAATCTCTCTTGCCAGATACCCGCATGGTTCCGTCTCTCTCCTCCTCCAAGTCTCTGCTCAAAGGTCACTATCAGCAAAAGCCCTCCCCAGCGTCCTAACTGAAAACAGCAGCTCCGCCCGTCCCGTGCCGCCTGTCCCCCTCCCTGCGCTAGTCTTCTCCTTTGCACCCACCTCTCACATCAGTGCGGACGTACCTGTGTGCTGATCGTCTCCTCCCAGCACAAGCTCAGCTCCCCAAGGGCAGCCCTGCCTAAAACCTGCCCGACACGTGGTGGCCGCGTGACAAAGCAGGTGCTGACATGAAAGAACGAACACCCACCTCGGCTTTTGTGACCGACATCCCCAGGGGTCTGTCGCTGACAGTGACCGACTCCAGCGCAGAGGACATCCGGTGGCAGAGGTGCTTGTTCTGGATGGCAAACCTCAGCTCTTCCTTGACAAAGGGTGTCAGGTTAGCAAAATCCTCAAACACCAGTGACCCAGGAGGGGACAGGCAGGGGACGATGGCAGAAGCACTGACTTCCGAGGCAGAGACCTGGCCTGGGTGTTGAAGCATCATTTTGCTGAAAGACACATGGAAACCCAAACTGCTTCAGGGGTCCTGGGGCATGGGGTCAAGGGTCCTCCCCACCCCACAATCCCCAACACCAGAACCTCACCCTCAAAAGAAAGTCCCAGAAGCCCTCGGGCTTCTGTTCTGTTTTCATTTCATGCCATCCTCATCTTGAGCAAAACAGGTTCTTAAAATACACAGCTCAGTGACGTGGATAAAATGCCTAATTGAAGTTTATAAGAGTTGATGTCTCAGGCTACTCTCAACTCGCAAGCACTATTAGTTTTGGCTGGTGTGCATATGTGCAAATGTCGCCTCACACAGTTCCGAAAGAGGAAGAGCATTTTTTAAAAATCAGCGAGACCATTCTACGACCTCACTTTCTGTCTCTTTTTCAAAAAGAAACTTGGAAGGTACCTGAAATCAAGTTGAACCTATCAGTGAGTGGAAGTAAAAGCAAGCAACGGGGGAGCCTTGAATGTAGCCAAAGCATCGTGGAAGCTGCTCATCCCACAAGCTGGATCCCAGTAATGGGAGTGAGGAAGGTGACTGTAGCCAGGCATGTTAATTTGCCCCAGTCCTTGGCAGGGGACGAGGGGTGGGGATTCTTACACTTTAGGTTGGTGAAGCAAAAGGCCTTAAGAGTAGAGCAAAGTGAGGAACGAATGCTCAGACACTCTGAGGGTGCTATTCAGACCTGGGGTGTAAGGAGAGGCTTGGGCTGGGGACCTTGGACTGGCTCTGGCACTAACGAGCAGTGACTCGGGCCAGTTGCTTTGGCTCTCTGAGACCCAGTGTGATCTGGCAGAAGGTTGAGAGCTCCCCGTGCAGGGACTGCGTCTCTATCCACGCTTTATCCCAGAGCCCCGCCCAGCACCTGCGGACCGGCCGGTCACTGCCCACCCGGATAAATGACATGAAGACAGGTGATCGAGTCAAATGGCCTCTGAGGTCCAAGGTCTCATCTCTCTCCATCATTCTATGGCTCAGTGAGCCCAAAGGGATGACAAAAGGAAAATAAAGGCTAGAAATAGTAACAGTTCCATGGCTACAACTTGGAATAGTCCCTCCCTAAGTCCTGCCTGCCGTGTACTCACTCAAGGGGCAAGGAGGTGGGGATATGTTTTGGCAGGCGGCCCCCTGGAGTGTCCACAGGGGATCCGTGGTCATTAGCCAAGTCCAGCCGGACAAGAAGCCCCGGGCAAGTCCCTGCCAGGTGAGGAGCGCTTCCTCCATTCCAGAAACCTTATGTGCACTATGTCACTTAATCCTCATGAGAACCCAGTGAGTTAGGTCCTAGCCCCATTTCATAGATGAGGTAACTGACATTTAGACAAGCTAAGTAATTCGCCCAAAGTCAGAGAATTAATACGGGACAGCGTCAGGATTTGGAATTAGGTTAGTTTGGCTCTAGAACCCATGTCCTTAATTTATACATCGCAAAAATGAACAAATGTTATTCTACATTGCAAAAACAAAAAAACAGAGCAAGTATTTTGGGGGGCGGTGCAGGCACTGGGGTAGGTGGGGCTGGAGCTGAAGAGATGGAGGGGAGACTGAGCAAAGACGTGTGCGGTAAACCTGAGCTCAGTTTAATGCAGTGTAATTGTCACATACCAGAGTGCACACTGAAGCTGCCGCCTTGATTCTGGGAGTCGGTTTAAGTGGTTTTTTTTTGTTTTTTTTTTTTTTTGAGACAGAGTCTCACTCTGTTGCCCAGGCTAGAGTGAGTGCCGTGGCGCCAGCCTCGCTCACAGCAACCTCAAACTCCTGGGCTCTAGCGATCCTCCTGCCTCAGCCTCCCGAGTAGCTGGGACTACAGGCATGTAGTCCTTTTTTTCTATATATATTAGTTGGCCAATTAATTTCTTTCTATTTATAGTAGAGACAGGGTCTCGCTCTTGCTCAGGCTGGTTTCGAACTCCCGACCTCGAGCAATCCACCCGCCTCGGCATCCCAGAGTGCTAGGAGTACAGGCGTGAGCCACCGCGCCCAGCCTAAGTGGGTTTTTATCCACAAAATTCCCAGACTGGGCTCAGAAGATGAAGATCTGAAGCCCACTTACCCCGTTATGTGTCATTGCTATACCTCCCAGTGGCCTTTTGTCCTCTGGTAAAGAGTGTTAATAACAACTGCCCTATTTTCCCTTAGAGTCATGTGAGGAATTGAAGAAGCAATACATGAATATGCCTGGAGAACATTCTTCAACTAGGAGTTTCACTATGACAGGGCCTCCCAGGGGCCTCTCCAGCCCAGGGCTGGCTCTCTGACAGTGGGGTCCAGGTGGGAGGGTGGCTGGTCACCCTCTTTGATCTCAAATGCTTCTGAATGGTACACCCTGAGCTCTAACTGCCCCTGGAGAATCTCAGATACACCGATGGAGGCAAGAATTCCAGGCCAATGAATGCCACCCTTGACTAGTCAAAGAAACCCAGGAAATGTAGGTAATTCTCTTCCCGAAGTCCTGTGTCATGAGCAGCACTGAAGTTCTCCTCTCAGTTTAATCCTATAATCGTAGGATGCTGGGAGGACACTTCTCTCTGTCAGGTGATCGGCTCTGAGAAACTAGCCTTCGAAAGCCAGAGGTTTAAGATTCTCCCATGCATTCATGTTTCCCCTCCCTTTCCAACTTTATTAAAAACCCAGTAGTTCAGGGATGGAATTCAGAGCTACCACTGGGCTGGCCTTTGCTTGGAGGACTGGATGGCTCCCTTCTACAGGGGTCATTTGAATTCCTCCACAGTTGAATATAGTTCCATTTTGCCACCCAACTAAGTTTATTAATGAGCTCTCAGGGCTTGGGGGCTACTGTTTGGGATCCACCCCCGGCCCCTGCAAGTGTCAAGCCAGCAGTCCTGATGAAAGAAACTGACGAATATCAGTGGTATGGAATATTTTTATGAAAAGCATTAGGTGGGCTCGCCTGGGGACAGAAATAGGTTGTGAAAATGTGAAAGGCATTCAGTGGGTAAAGCAGATGTATCTGCAGAGATTCGGGCTTTCTCTGCAGTGAGGCTAAAGCTTAGTGTCTTGGGATACTTCCTAGTTATTCCCTTACTCAGTCTCTTAAGATATGATTCAGCCTAGACTCAGGCTGTGTCCCCAACAAGGAAATGAAGTTAAATTTTCAGACAATTTTTCAGAAAGTTGAGACCCTCTAACAACCCCTTCACCGAAGAAAAAATGTTTTTTGGGGGGGGAGGGAGGATCTCAGATGATCTGAGTTGACTTTCTACATCGATCATAAATTTGTTCACGCCTGCTACAAGAACCTGCACTTTGCTTCGACTTCATTATTTCCAATCAGAAATCATGTCATATCATTGGTGGTTTCATCATTTTCAAGAAAGTGAAACTTTGCTCACGTATTTCTTTAGCTGGAAATTCAGCTCCCAGATTTATTTCCTAGTACCTAAAACTACATTGAGTTTTCACTTTTCATTTCCATCTCTTTCCACTAAGCCCTGCTCGCTAACCATCTTATGGTACTGGGAAGTCGATTTTGGCCTTTCACTAATTCTTCATATGTTAGTCTTTCTCCCAGCCTGCTTCAAGAGATCATAGGTATATGGCAGGTCCTCGGGGCCAGAGACGATGTTTCCGGGCCTGTCAGTATCACTCACAAGCCGAGCACCCGACAAGCCACGTGGGGCTTTCTGGGCCTCAGTTTCCTTTTCTGTAATATGAGACCAAGATTGCCTGCCCCAATTCCCTCCAAGGGCTGTTGGGAGGTTCGCATGAGACTCGCACACACACTGGGTAAAAGCATCACTACTGTGACTCCATTTTCCCTGTTTCAGGGGAAACTCATTCTGTCTTCAATCCAATTAAACCCTATTAGTCAGGAATTAACTGGAACCCTCGGAGAAATTCAGGTCAGAGCCTCTTCTGCACTTGGAATGACCCCTCGGTTCCTGACACACCAGGTAAATTCCACCCCACTATTTGCTGACACCAGCCTTTCTGCACTAGCGTTACATACTTGAGAGAGAACCAACGCTGCACATGAAAAACCATTCCTTCTTTGAAAAGTTTCTGTGGTGTCCTGGCTATGTCCTCCTTCCTCCCCATCCCCAACCCCCGCCTGGGTAACACTTGGTAGCCACTGACCCTGTTCCATGCCCAGCTCATTTTAAAAGGGAAGGAAGGGCCAGGCGTGGTGGCTCACGCCTGTAATCCTAGCACTCTGGGAGGCCGAGGCGGACAGACTGCTCAAGGTCAGGAGTTTGAAACCAGCCTGAGCAGGAGCAAGACCCCATCTCTACTAAAAATAGAAGAAATTAATAGACCAACTAAAATATATATATATATACAAAAATTTAGCCGGGCATGGTGGCGCATGCCTGTAGTCCCAGCTACTCGGGAGGCTGAGGCAGGAGGATCGTTTGAGCCCAGGAGATTGAGGTTGCTGTGAGCTAGGCTGACGCCACGGCACTCACTCTAGCCTGGGCTACAAAGTGAGACTCTGTCTCAAGAAATAAATAAATAAATAAATAAATAAAATAAAATAAAAGGGAAGCAAGCATGGAGTCTACTGAATGGGAATCATAGAACAGCCAATATTAGAGCCATCTAGGGCAGATCCTTATATTATAATTGGGCCATTTGAGGTCCAGGAAAATAAAGTAACCTGTCCGAAGGTCAAAAAGATGGTGAGTGACCCAGCCCATGCCAAGCTGCTGACCACCCACCCACGGCTCAGTTCACTCCATCACCAACAGGGATCTATCACCCAAGTCATCAACCATGGTGGCAATGGAGAACACAGCCACCAGCCAGGAAGATGAGGGGCCAGCAGTCCTGGCACCTGGTACTGACCACAGAGGAGACTTTGACAGGACCAAGATGGTGAGGAGTTACAGAAGAAAGGGGCCATGAAGAGAAAGGAACTAGACAATAATGGCTAAAGAGCAAGGAGGGAGGAAGAAAGAGAGAGAGGGAAGGGTGGGGTTATAACAGGAGAGGGTTGAAGGCACCCAGAGCTGCCACAGGTGCTGGGTGCTGTATCTTATCCGCCCTGTGGGCCTGGGGCACTGCAAACTATCCAGACAGTAGCAACTACAAGCCCCTCACTGCCCCGTCTCTGTCTAGAATAACCTCGAAGCAAGAGCCTGTATGTTGTAGCATTATTATTCTGCAACAAATGCTAAACGCAAAACAAGAGGGATAGTAATACCAATTTTGCCTTCATTTTAAGGTGGGGAGACAGAAACTCCAAACAGAAAATGTAACTGTCACCCACACTGAAAGGGATACATTGGGGGAACATCCAGATTATTCTAACGCTCAATTTTTTTTCTGGGTCCATCAAGAATTTAGCAACTCTTCTATCTGTAAGAAAGCAGATGTAACCTGTGCAATGAAATTTGGAAAAAGAAAATGGTTAGGAGGGAAGGAAGTAGGAGAACAAATCCAGTGGAAGTAAAGTCGGGGAGGGATGAGACGCTCCATGGAGAAGTCCCCTTTACCCCGTTGTCTGGGAGACTGGTCAGTGACATTAGATGGAGACACCCTTGCCTGGTCCCTTTTCTTTCAATTACATCACTCTCAAATCTGAAAGTCTTCAGCCAGAAAGGACCTTAGTGGTTATCTGGTCCAATCACCAAATCGTGCTCTCCAATAGACACGGGCCCGCTAGTGTCTATGTGTCCCTATTTCCCAGCCGGGGACACTAAGGCTCAAGGACTTCAAGAGCAGTATAAGGTCTCAGAGTGCTGGCACTAGACCACAAAACCATTCTCTCAAGTATCTGTACAACTGGTTCTACACCCTCGCTTCACCCCACGGAGGGTCTCCACGGTCGCAAAGGAGAGAAATCCGCAAAGCCCCAACGGAAAAGCGACAGTGCGAGTCACACAGGTGCGCGAGCAAAGCGTGCGAGCGCCCGCGCCCAGGAGCCGGACGCCAGCTTGTGCTCTCCGCCCTCAGCCCGGGACAGCGCGACACGGGCGCTCGCCGCTTCCAAACTCAGCCCAGCCAACTTTCGCTCGGGCCGCCCTGCGCGGCTCAGCGGCCGAGCGCTCCGGGGTGCGCAGGGCGACCCCCAGCGGCAGCGCCCGCGACGCCCGCCCGCCCGCCCGCGGGTCCCCATTCATTGCGCTCCGCGCCGGGACAGCGCGTCCGCGAGCCCCGGCCTCCGCGCCGCTCCGCGCTGTCGGGAAGGCGCTGCTGGGAGCGGCGGTGCGGGGCGCCGGGGAGGGCTCGGGCAGGACCGCGAGCCGGGTGGCGTGGGGCACCCGCGCGCACCACCGCCCGCCCGCCCACCTCGCGCCCTCCCCGCGCGGCGGTGCGGGCGGACGGCGGAGGGCGGCGGCGCTCCGAGGTCGCTCGCGGAGTGGACGCCCGGCCGCCTCCGTCACCCGGAGCCTTTCGCGCCCCAAGTCAAAAGAGAAAGTTAGTTCTTTCACTTTGCGGGAAACTTTCCGGCGCGCTGAGGGGCAGCGGTGGCCGGACCAAGTTCCCGCGCCAGAGTTCCCGCGACGCCGGGGCGGAGGCGCGGGTCGGAGGTGGGGCAGGGGTTGGGGACAGGTAAGCAGAGGGGCGTAAAGGGAAGCCAAGCGAGCCGCCCCGTCGCGCTCGCCCACTCGGCCCCCAGCGCTCACCTCCAGGCTCCGCTCGGGGCGGCCAGGGTCCGGAGGACGGGCAGGGTCGGGGCGGGGCCGGGCTGTCCGTCTGTCCGGCCGGCGGGCGAGCACC